TGGTAATAATGCCAAAGGTGAAGGTGATGAGGGTTTTCGAGATGCGAGGTTACCAGGTGGGGCTTGGGAGCCACATTTGGAAACGTCCGACGCTGCTATTCACGATCCGGAGAACGCGTTGCTGCCAAAGTCTCTCTAGGGCAAGCGGCTGCGTGCATCGGAGAGTGCTGACGCAGTTATGCAGTACGTCAGGGAGGCTGGGAATTCAAACAGATGGCTTCAACAAGAACGTGGGATTATGCCGCCGAACGCAGTAGGTTTCAGTCGGGCGAGGAGAGACAATAGTGTACAAACTCAATCAATGCCGCTTGATCATGAATGACACGCACCGCCTCAAATACGAGTTGTGCAGTCGCATGGTATCGAATGTAATAATGTCTCCCGTTTAAATTGTGGGCTTGGCAGTACGTGTTACGAAGACTTTCACGTGCGTCTTCGCTGCGACAATGTGCTTCCCAAGCGCCAGTCTGACAGCAAAAGTGGTTTCCTGGAGCATCACGTGTAAGCAGGCTCCTTCGTGGATTGATTATGGCTGCCAGCACGGGTATCCGATTATACGATTGATCTTCGGAAAAAAAGGCCAGGCCACTCTTCAGAGTGGAGCGGAGAAACTCACAGAAGTAAGTTTTGCGCCAGGTCGTCTGGCATTCCTTCGACGCCTTTACGCCCACGCGCTCCGAGGCTGCGGCAACGGCCTCCTACGTCCTGCCCAGTGGGCACGGGTCCTTCGGTGCCCGGTAACGGCGTCGCTCCGCTCCGCTCCTCTCCGCTGTCCTCTCTTCGCCTCTCCCTCTCCCCCCTGCTGGCTCCCCGCTTCCCCTCATCGCCACCCCGCCCCGCCGCGCGCGGCTCAGGCGCTGGCTGCGGGGCGGGCCCCCTCTCTCTCTCACGGGCCCCTCCCCCCCTATAGCCGCGCCCCCCGCCCCCTCCCCCCCCACCAGGGCGCGGCGTGGGCTCCCGCGCCGAGCTCCTCCGGAGGCCTCCGGAGGGACGCCCTCGCGAGAGGCCTCCGAACGGCCCTCGGAGGGCCCTCGGAGGGCCCTCGCGGGGAGCCCTCGCCGGCACTCGGCGGCTCTTCGCGAGGCGGGCCCCCGGCGGGGCCTCCGGCGCTCGCGACCGCGCGACAGATCGCGCGCCCATGCCCGGGGCCGCGGTCGCCGTCGTCCCGCCGCTGCCGCCGCGGCACCGCGCTGGCGAGGGGCGCCCGGCGAGGAGGAGACCCCCTCGGCCCCCGCCTCGGCCCCGCCGGCACCGCGCGGCGCGAGCGGGGCGGACGACGATGGCGGCGGTGACGGCGACGACGGCGACGGCGACGGCGACGGCGGCGGCGACGACAGCGCCGGCGCCGGCGGCGACGGTCTCCATTGGCCCTCGCCGAGCCCCGGGACTGTCGAAAACTCAGGGTAGAAAAAAAAACGGTTCCCAGGAAGGGGTCCAGACTTATCTGGGGAGCGAAGTTGCTCAGGAATCGCGACGTGAGGTGTCTGGGCAGTGGCCCCCAGGTCTTCGCGCCATTTCCGAGCCCCTCTTGGCTTTGCGAGGAGTGCTCGGAGACCATCCAGGACGTTCCAGATTCCAGCAAGGGATTCGTCTTCAAGGGATCGAGAGGTTGACATCTCTTCCTCGGCGGAAGGCCAGCGGAAGGCGGCGGAAGTCGAACGAGGACGGCTCCCCCGGCGGAAGCTGGCGGACGCAACATTGTGTTGTCCAACAGATGAGGATTTGGGGGGGTCAGGGTTTCGGGCTCCCTGGAGCAGCCAGGGTCACCTTGATTCAGGGTTTGCGAAGGGCCCCCCAGATCTTCGCGTCATTTCTGGGCCCCCTGCGCCCTCTGGGCTTCGAGGGTTTTTCGTGCGTTGTGTTCCGTTGGTTTTGCGACAACCCCTCAGATCGTATTCGCACGAGTGGCAACGGCGGAGCGCGGCACGGCACGCTGAGCATCGTGCGCCAGGCTCTGTGGCCAGACCTCATCCGCCGCGCAACGTGCATGGCTCTCGCTGGCATCGCCTCGCAGAGGGGCAGTCGACGGAGCGCTCGCAGACCATCTGGCCGCCCCCCCCCCCTCCTCCTCCTCCTCCTCCTCCTCTTCCTCCTCCTCCTCCTCCTCCTCCTCCTCCTCCTCCTCCTCCTCCTCCTCCTCCTCCTCCTCATCGTTCCTCGCTCCTCGCTCCTCCTCCTCCTCCCCTCTTCTCCTGATCGTTCCTCGCTCCTCCTCCTCCTCCTCCTCCTCCTCCTCCTCCTCCTCCTCCTCCTCCTCCTCCTCCTCCCCCTTCCTCCCTCTCCTCCTCGTCGTCACTCTGCGATACAGGCAGCGAGAATCTATCAAGCCTCCACGAGCCTGCGGGCGAAGGGACCATGCCCCAGACCTTTGGGAGGGCTGGCGCGGCGAACGAAGTGAGCTTCGCGCCCCTGGGGCGGGGAGGGAGAAAGAATAACAAGTGGACAGAGTACGGGGCTAGAACGTATACACCACCACCACCACCACCACCACCACCACCACCACCACCACCACCACCACCACCACCACCACCACCACCACCACCACCACCACCACCCTCGCCCCCTCCCCCGAAAGGGAAGAAGAGGAGGAGAGGAAGGGGAAGGAGGAGGCATGGAGGTGTGTGGTGGTGTATACTCTCGGGGCCCACAGAGAGGGAGGCGCGCGCCTCACCTCCGTCACCCCCTCCCCCCCCTCCTCCTCCTCCTCCTCCTCCTCCTCCTCCTCCTCCTCCTCCTTCCTCCTCCTCCTCCTCCTCCTCCACCTCCTCCTCCTCCTCCTCCTCCTCCTCCTCCTCCTCCTCTTCCTCCTCTTCCTGCCCCCCCCCCCTCCCGAGAGCCAGGACCCGGGGCGCCCCGCGGCACGCCTGGTGGCGCGACCTGCTGGGCTGGCAGCGCGGCGGCTGCGACTGCCTGTGCTGCCCCGGGGGCGCCGCCTGCGGCGCGGGCGGCTGGGAGAAGGACGCCCCGGGGCCCCTTCCTGTGCTTAAGTCGGGCGTGTCCCCCTACGGGGGGATTTTCGACGAAAAATTAAAGATACCCCCAAAATAGTCAAAAAATAATCCAGGAATAGTCTGGGGACTATTTTTTGAAACCTTTTTGGTGCATTTTCGGAGTATTTTTAAAAATTTTGCGTCGAAAATCCCCCTGTAGGGGGGACACGCCCGACATAACCCCGCGCGCGTCTGCTGCTCGTCGGAGGGGCTCGGCGTTCCCGGAGGCCCGGACGTTTGACTTTTTTTTGGTCTGACGCCCTGCGTTTTTTGCCTCTCGGCGCGGTCGGAGTGTATAGGCACGGGGAGACGACGGGAAAAGCACGGGGCGGGAAGACCGGGCAGAAGACCGAAGGAGAAAGAACCGCGGGAAAGAATGCGGACGAAGACCGACCAGAAGTTCCTGCCCGCTTGGATCCAGAGTCGCCGCCCGGTGTCGCCGCGGGCGGGGCCCACACACGAGGCACCAAGGGCGGCGCTTGCTCGGCAGTGGCCGCTGTCGGACCTGAGCAGCGTGGCCCTGTTGGGCATATCCTTCTCCTGCACAGCTGTGCTCTGGAGCTCGGACCTCATGATGTTCGTTCGTCGTCGTCGTTCGTTCGTGCGTCGTTCGTCCTGCCCCCCTATATAGGCCACAGGAGGAAACTCCTGGAGGCAGGAGGCGGAAGCCTCCTGCCCCTCGCAGCTCCTCGGCGCAGGGGCCAGGGCACGCGTGCCACCTGCTCTTTGTTGGCGCACCCCTGCGGGGCGTGCCAGGCCTCGTCTCGGGCCCCAGCGTTTCGAGTCATCTTGACACGCGTTGACGGTTTTCTGTACTTCACTCGAGATTTAGGAGAGCTACAGCTGGTACGCACAGAAACCGATCCAGAATCATCAGGCGCACTGATCTGAAGCATCTAGAGAGGTCTGGCCTCAGCCTGCTGCTCGAGCTATGGGTGACCCTCCCAGGTCGGTCTGGCTCGACGGCTGCGGCAGGCACGCGGGGTCCCCTGGGCTCTGGTCGCGAGCTGCCCCCGTGTCGCAGGTGTTCGCCGCGCCGGCCCTCCGGGTGGGGCCGCTCCATGGCGAGCGCCTATAGCCCTCGATCGCGGGGGGCCGGCGGGAGGGAAGCGTATCGGGGGCCCTGGCCTCCGGGGAGGCCCGGCGGGAGGCGGCGGAAGCGGAGGCGAGACGTCAAGGCGCTTGGATCTCCCAGCACCCCCTCGCGAGCAATAGAAAAAAAACACGGCGGGAGGTTTTTGTTTGCTGTTTTCGGCCTCTGGGGGCCCCTACCGTCGGCAACACCCCAACATACTTATACTATATGTGCGTCGCCCCCCCAGGGGCGACGCGCGCACCGACAAATCTTATAGTACATGCGTCGTGGCGTGCGCTTTCTGGCCACACCGCTCGGGAAACGATATACTGCGAGATGGGTATACTACAGATTCGGGTCGGACGCGCGCCTCCAAGGAGGACATATAGTATTAGTATGTCCATGTGCGTCCCATACCGGCCCTCGGGGCCGTCAGAGAACGACTTGCAGGCTGAGAAAAACCGGTCCACGGGGAGCGGGTCGAGACCTCTCCAGGGGGGTCGACGTCATGAGAAACAGTCATGACGTCGGGGGTCTGGGAGATGCAGGCCCTCTGGAGGTTGGCCATGCACAGTTTCCAGGAGGGGAAGCAACACACAGACACAATGAATCGTCGACTCCCAGGATAAGATGTGCAAAAATATGGGAAGTGGGGGGGAGGACAGAAACCCAGAAAATATAAGAAAGTATGGGGAATCTTTTTATTAGTGTGTATTTATTTGTGTGTCCTGGGGCCCCTTCAAGTTTAGGCGACGCCGTTTGGTCGGCCAAGGGGCCAAGGAGCTCGGCGAGTGAGTTCTTCGTCCCCGTGCCCTTCGTCCCGTGTACCTCTCAGGCCTTGAGCGTGGCGGAACAGATATCGGAAGCTGGCTTTCCAGCAGGTGTTCCACGAGAGTTCTCTGATTTCTCGACGGCTCCACGAAAGGCCCGCGAGGATGCTGGGGCGCCTCGCGGATGTCAAGTTGGGCGACACGGGGGCCGTCGGACGGGCCTGGGATCGGGATACATCGCCCCCCGGAGCTCTCTCAGGAGCGCTCCAGGCCGCGGCGCCCAGGCAAGACAGTTCATGGGGCAGCCGCTTCACTCGAGCGCAGGCGCTTACAGAGGCAGCGTCGCGGCTGCAAACACGGAGTCGCTAATTTGCAGCATACGGCGTTCAAGCGTGCACTCCAGCCGTGCCGCGAGTGTATTGCGCAGCAGGGCATCTTGAAAAAGGTTGCGCTCTATCGTGTGCCAGGTGCGCCGACTACATACTCCCCCCAGAACGGCCGGATAGCAGACGTCCCGAGCTTTTCCAGTCCGACTGTGCCGCGGTCCTGGCTTCGCCCCCTCGACGTGCGTATAGATGTGTGAAATGCCTCGTGCCCTCAGGTCTCGACCCTTTGCCTCGGCCGTTGCTTCCTCTCGGGCTTCGTGTTGACGGCCTCGGGGCCCAGCGAGGGCCGCCAGGGGCCGAAAAAACGACCCGCAAAGGCCCGTCGCGAGGAGAGCCACGGCGCGAGCCCGTCTGGGCGCGAGGGCTTCGCACCGCAGGGCCTCGCCCGCCCCGCGTGCCTCGCCCTGGGCGCCGCCCGGCTGGCTCTCGCTCTGGCCGTGCTGCGGGGCGCGGAGAGGAGGACGAGGACGAGGAGGAGGAGGAGGAGGAGGAGGAGGAGGAGGAGGAGGAGGAGGAGGAGGTGGGGGGGGCGGTGCTGTTGGGGTGTGGGGGGGGCGATACAGTCAAAGACCCTAATAAGGACGCGCGGCTTTGCTCAGGGTACCCTTGCGTCCTTGCTCTTCCTTGCTCTTGCGTCCTTGAGGTTTTCGTCTTCCGCCGCCCCCCAAAAAATCCCAACTTCGGCTTCCAAGGGTCTCGCGTCCTTACCGCGCGTCCTTATTAGGGTTTTTGACTGTACTGTTGGGGGGGGGGCGCGTAGTGGGCGGGCGACAGATGAGGGGGCAGCGAGGGCTGCAGAAATCGTCTCTTGTCTGGGGCCCCTGGAGGTGCCCTATAGAAGAGGGCCCCGACAAGGAGGTGCCTTTGACTGAGGGCCCGACAAAAAGGTGCCCTCTCGGGCCCAGAAAGGCGCACTTCAGGGCCCGAACAAGGCACCTTTCTTCCCCCCCCTTCATTGTCAGGAGGGAACACACACAATAAATTATCGATTCCCTTGAAAATATGGGAGAATATGGGGAGTGGTGGGGGGGGGAAACGACAGTCCAAGGAATATGGCAAAGGATTGGGAACCCTGGGATCTGCGTGCGTATCTATTGGTTTGCACCTGGGCCCCTTCACGTGGATCGCTCCCCCTCCGCTGCAGCGACGCCCCGCCGTGGCCTCCCGCACCCCGGGCGCGCCCCTGGCCCCCGCTCCGTGCCTGGCGGCCTGCGCCGCCGGGGCGCGCGCCCTGCAGAGCCCGGGCGCCCCCTTCTTTCAAGCAGTGGCGAAGCGTCCCGGCTCGCGGCTCGCCTATAGCCCCACCAAACAATGTTCTGAGAACCTTTCGTGGTTTCCACGACATGTGCTCAGAACATTTCTGGCGGATATGGTCTTGTTTTATCTCATCGGGCTTACGTTTCAAGAACACTGTTTTTGTTCTTAGAGCACTTAGGGGTTCTAGGAACATGTCGTGGTAGGACTATAGGAATGCCGGGACGGTCGGTCCCTGCTCAACTCTTCGGGCGCGCGGGGGGCCGCGGGGGGCCGCGGGGCAGCCTCGGTGGGCCTGCAGCTCGGCCCCCTGTCCGGCGGCGGGCGAGGGGGGGGGGGGAAGGGAGGAGGAAGTCGTGCCTGTCCCTCTGCAGGAGGAATCCATTCAGAAATCGTCAAGAAAGGATATTCCGGGGACGATTGTTCGCGCATGTTTCGGCTAGTTGGGGGCATTCCAGAATCCGCCTGTAGGGGGACGTGCCCGACCCAAAGCGAGGAAGAGAGGGCCTTCTCGGAAGGCCTCTCGGGCCGTCTGTGAGGTGCTCCGTGTCTTCGGGGGAAGGCTGAGGAAGCCTCCCGGAAGGCTGGGGGGGGCGTCCGAGCCTTGTCAGGATGCCGTCCCCTTTTCACGTCCCCCCCAAGCTCGCGGCAGACTGCAGTTCGGCCCCTTTGGTTGTTGGGGCGCAGGGGCGAAGGCGCGCGCGCGCGCCGAAGGCTCTCGCTGCGTATATGCTCCGGGCTGGGCGCTCTCTGGCCACACCGTTTGGACGACGATGTGCCGTGATACTGATGCAAGAGCCTGTGTTTGCTTCAGATCCGGGCAAGTTTACTTGCATGGCGTTCGCAAGTGCCTTTCGACTTGCGTGGTTGCCGCACGTGCAAGCCGTTTGCGGCCTGCTTCGGGTTCAGGCCCCCCCCCGTCCATGCAAGTAAACTTGCTGGAGTCTTAAAAGAAGACAGGCTACAATGCATCCTGGGGCCAGACGTGCGTCTTCAGCAGAGATTTGCACCATGTGCACCACGTGCCAACAATGCCGCTGCACTTGCCGTTCTCGCCCGCGCCGCCGCCGCCGAGGCTCTCAGCGCAACCGACTTGGCCGGCGCGGGCCGCCTTCCGCCGCCGCAGCCGCCCTGCCGGCAGTCGGAGCACCTGAGGCGCGGGCGTTTCAGTCGGCAAACGTCGGGAGGAAATAATAGGCACATAGACAACACACACATAGATCTCTATTATAAAATTGTGTATATATACATATACATTTATATATATATATATATATATATATATATATGTATACATATATCTATATATATATATATATATATATGTATCCATTCTGATACTTTTATTACCCGGACCCCCCCCCCCCCCCCCCACCCCTAAACCGGACCCCCCCGGGGACGCCCCGGACGCCCTTTCGGACGTCTCGGCGGCCCCTGGGACGCCTTTGGAAAAGGTCTGCTGGTCCTTCCGGGCCTCCCAGGGCGCCTTGTTGGGCCTTGAGAGCAGATTCGAAGCGATCAGTGGGGTCATCGGAGAAGCGCAGGAGAGACCCAAGACAGCAGAAGAGCGCTCCAAGAGAAACCTCGATGGTCCGAAGACGGCCCACGAGGCCCCCAAGATGGCCCAAGAGGCCGTTAAGAAAACCCCCAAGAAGCAAACATCGTCCCATTCCCTAAGGGATGCTGATGATGATTATTAGTATTGTCATCATTACTTGTACAAATATGTTTTTATTATTTGTAGTATTCATAATATGATTCTTCTTCCGATGTTCATAACATATGCGCTGTTTGGGTCTTCGCAGCGTCCAAGACGGCCCGATGGGTCCCCGATATCGCCCCAAGACGGCCCAAGAGGTCCCGCAGAGGGTTTGAAGACGGTCCAAAAAAGGCCCCAAGACTGCCCCAGAGAGCTCCGAGACTGCCCACAGAAGCCCAAGATGCCCCCCGAAGGCTCCCAAGAGAGACCCACGGAAGCCATGGGAGACCCCCAAGAAGGCCACTGGAGGCCCCCAAGAGGGCCCCAGATGGCTTCAGAAGACCTCTGGAGGGGCCCAGCTCCCCAAGACGGCCAACAAAGGCTCCAGGACAGCCCAGGAGGGCCCCAGGACGGCCCAAAATATTCAAAACACGCCCAGACAGCGTTCTCCGTGCGCTCGTTGCGTTTACGCCAGCCCGCCTGTCCTTCCCGTACCTATATCACCCCCTCTCTTTTTCTCTCTCTTTTCTCTCTCTCTCTCTCTCTCTCTCTCTCTCTCCTCTCTCTCTCTCTCTCTCCTTTCCCCCCTTCCGCCTTCTTCGTCGACCTTCACGTTCGTGGCATCCGATGGCCATCCTCATTCGCCCGCTCCTTCCTCTGGACCTTCTCCCCGTTTCTCCCCACCCTCCTACCCCCTTTCCGCCTCTTCAGCCCCGCCCCTCATCCCTGCTCCCTTTTCCGTTCCCCTTTTCATGGACAGGCGCCATCGCAACAGTTTGATGCTTCGTCGTCTGCCTGCACCTTCGCGCGTGACAGCAAATCACCATTCCTTCCCCGCTCGTGCGCTCAAGCGTGCAAGCGCATCGCGCGAACGCGGTGTCAGCAGGCACCAGGGATATCAGAAACATGAGCCGATCGCCCGTCCAGGCCTCGAGGTTCCCCCTGCAGAAGCAAACTATGATTTATTGCTGTGCCGGAAGAGCGTCCGGAGCAAGGCGCATGGCGCGAAACGCCAATGCAATCTTACATACACACACGTAAATAGTAGCTAATGAACATCAAACAAAAACATGGAGGCGAAGAGGAACATCAAGGCCATATGGAACACATACAGGACATCCTGGAACATGTGTCGATATCTACGATTTGTTTGTGCCTCCCTGGGCTTCTTTTCGTGTTAAGAAAATCGCGATGGACGTTGTTTGCCTCTGGGGGCCCTCGCCGGGTGCTAGGACCGTCAACGACCGACTCGGGATGAAAAGTCGGCCTTGGGGGAGGGGTCGGGACTTGGGGGGGGCCCGCATTGGAAAATGTACGACGTCGGATGTTTGGATACATCTCCATCGTCGCTGGCCAGGGCCATCCTGGGTTCAGAGGTGGTGCTCTCGGCCCCCCCTGGCCCAGCCAGGAGGGCGCATGCGCCGCACCTGGTCCCAGGACGAGCCTGGCCATGGGCAGTTGATTTGCATAGATCTCGTCGCCCCGCCACGGGGGGGGGGGTCCCAGGGGGCAGGCCAGGGGCGTGGAACTGGGGGGGTTACGACGCCGCGCGCGGGCTCCCTGGAGGCCCTCGGGGCATTTAGGGCGCCATCGCGGCTGTCGACGGAAGTTCCCAGGCACCAGGCCATCGGCGCAGGCACGGCGGCCGGTTTCCTTTAACACTGTGGGCCTCATGGAAGCCCGCTTCGAAGCCTAGGGCCGTCAACGGAAACCGCCCGGCTGCAGGAATTGAGGCCCCTGGCATTGGGCCGAGAGATCCCATGCACTGGACAAGTCACGACGTCGGATTTTTGGCACTGGTGCCCGGGCGGAGGGGACCTCGCAGAGGGGCACCGCATCCGGAGGGCAACGCCAGCTGGGAGCCGTGACCTTCGGAAAGGGGTGGCACTTTCTTGGCGCGCGGGCTCTGGAAAGTGGCCCCCCAACATGCAAACCCAGACCCCCGACGTCGCATGTTTTCACGACGTGGACCCACAGATGTCTGGACACACTCCTTGTGACCATTCTCCGCATCGCCAGCGGCACGGAAGCTGTCTGAACTATTTCGGGGCGCTTCCACACCTCGTGGCAAGCATCTGGGCGTCTGCTGCTGAAAGCTGGCCACCAGTTTCTCATTCCGAACCGTCTTTTGACGGTCCCGAGGCCCCCTCTTAGGGCCCCCTTGTCAGAGGCCGAACATGGTGCAACGCTTTCCGCCATTGCCTTTCATGGCCCAAGTGTGCCTGGGGCTCCAGCCGCCGAGGGAGCACCAATCTGCAGGTACGCTTCCCCTCTTGGGGCGATGGGTCGGGGGGACGCCGCGCGCAGCCGCCCTGTACCCCAGGTGCAGCCGCAGGGGCACGGAGACAGCCGCCCTGCCGCGCCTCGCGGCTTCCGGGCACGGATGGCTGGTGCTCTCCACGGTCGCGCGCGGCGAGGGCGCTGAGATCCGGAGGAGGTGAAGATACCGATGCCGCCATTTGCCCATCTCTCGTCGCCGCGGCCGGATTCGCCCCGGGATCCTGGTCAGGACGCGCCCCCCGGAGAGGTCCACGAAGCAGCGGTCTCGTTTCGTCGTTTCCCCATGGCGCGCGCGCTTCGCGCAGCGGAGGGCGCGAAGCCCGTGGATCCAGGGCTGCACCTGCCTGTGTCGGCATCGCAGGACCCCTCGCCGTACTCTTTGGGAAAGACTTGGGCCTTGGACCCCCACGTTCACCGGTTACCGTGTAGGTGAGGTCAAATATCGCCTCCGTTAGGTTTCGCCGCATCTATCGCCTCGAAGATGGGGGAAGGTTGGTGACGCGAAGGACCCGGAGCCCCCTCGGATGAGGACATTTCTGAGGTTGCTGAGGGATGGACGTTTCGGGAGTGTGGTCGGGATCGGGTCGGTGGTGGTGTCGCCGATGCGAGGCGGTGGAGGCGCCCTTCGCCTCCTCCCATCCACCTCTCTGGGACAAGTGCACGAAACTATGTTCGCAACGGCCACTTCGCATAGTTTAGTGGACATTCTTCGGGGCGGGCTCGCGAGGGTGAGACGCTCAAACACATGTGTACCTACTCGACCACCCTTCGGGTGATCAGACGGTTTGGGGGGGAGCAACCAGCTGAGGCCGCAGCGGCAGCAACTCGCGACAAGGCATCAGGCCCTCCTCATTAAGGGCAGCCAGCTGGAGCAAAAGCCACGCTTGCTCCTGCGAGCGCACAGCTGGGCTCAGGACCTGGCCGCTTCCGCTGCGACGCCGCCCGTCTCCGCGCTTTTGTGGGGAGGCACGCGGAGCCTCGCTCCGCCGACCGGCAGGGACATCGGAGCGCACCCGCGAGTGCTCTCACCTCCGCCGCGTGGTCGAGCCGCGTCGCGCCCCCGACCCGCCGGGCACCCGCCACCGCAGGTGCGACCGGATAGGCGGCAGGCAGCGCCAGCAGACGCGCGCGAGCCAGGGCAATGCGCTGCAACAGCTTGAGCACCCCAGCGCGTTAGCCTCCTCGTCTCTGCCAGCGCCCGCGCGTGCCCCGCCGTCCCCAAGGACACATGCCCAGCCCCCCCCAATTCCAGCAGCAGCTTGGCCGCCTCATGCTGCGCAGTGTTCAAGCGAGCCGTCGCGGCCTGCCAGCCTGGCCCGAACAACGCCAGAAGCTCCGCGCCGTAGAATGCCCCTGCTTCGACCCGAGACAGCAACGGAAAAGGAGGAGGAGGAAGAGGAGGAGGAGGAGGGGGAGGTGGTGTAGCAAGGAGGAGGAGAAGGAGGAGGAGGATGAGGAGGAGGAGGAGGAGGAGGAGTACAATAATGACTATGAGGAGAAGAAGCGAAGAGAAGCGAGGAGAAGATAGAGGAGGAGGAGGAGGAAGAGGAGGAGGAGGAGGAGGAGGAGGAGGAGGAGGAGGAGGAGCAGCAGCAGCAGCAGCAGCAGCAGCAGCAGCAGCAGCAGCTTCAGCAGGAGCAGGAGGAGCGATGAGGAGTAGCAGGAGGAGGAGGAGGACGACGAGGAGGAGGAAGTGTAGAAGGACGGGAGGAGGAGGAAGAAGAGGAGGAGGAGGAGGAGAATGAGGAGGGGGAGGGGGAGGGGGAGGTGGTGTAGCAAGGAGGAGGAGGATCAGGAGGAGGAGGAGGGGGGGGGAGGTGGTGCAGCAAGGAGGAGGAGGAGGAGGAGGATAATAATAATAATAATAATACTAAAATTAATCATAATAATATAATAATGTTAATAATAATAATAATAATACTAATAATACTAATAATAATAATCGTAAATATCAATAATAACAATAATAATACTAATAATACTAACAAAAATAATAGTAATACTATTAATTATAATAATTACAATAATAATAATAATCCTAATAATAAGAAGAAGAAATAATAATAATATTAATAATAGTAATAATGATGGTTATGAGGAGGAGGAGAAGCGAAGAGAAGCGAGGACACTATTGAGGGGGAGGAGGAAGAGGACGAGGAGGAGGAAGAATAATAATACTACGAAGAAAAATAATATGAACAGGAACATGAGGAAAAGGAGGAGGAGGATAATAACTATGAGGAGGGAAAGCGACGCGAAGCGAGGATAATATGGAGTAGAGGAGGAGGAGGGGAGGGGGAGGGGAGGGGGGGGGGTCGTGTAGCAAAGAAGAGGAGGAGGCAGAGGAGGAGGAGGAGGAGGAGGAGAAGAAGACATCTGAGGAGGTGAAGCGAAGAGAAGCGAGGGCATCATAGAGGATGATGAGGAGGAGGAGGAGGAGGAAGAGGAGGAAGATGACGAGGAGACGACGGAACAGGAGGAGGAGGAGCAGCAACATCAGCAGGAGCAGGATAAGCTAGGAGGAGTAGCAGCAGAAAGAGGAGGAGGATGAGGATGATCACGACGAGGAGAAGGAGAGAGTAGTAGGAGGAGGAGGAGGAGGAGGAGGAGGAGGAGGAGGAGGAGGAGGAGGCAGAGGAGGAGGAGGAGGAGGAGGAGGAGGGGGGGGAGGGGCAGGTGGTTTAGCAAGGAGGAGGAGGACGATGAGGAGGAGGATAAGGAGAGGAGAAGGATGATACCTACGAGGAAGATAATCGAAGAGAGGCGAGGAGACGATATATAAGCAGTAGGAGGAGGAGGTGGAGGTGGAGGAGGAGGAGGAGGAGGACGAGTCCGAGGCGAGGGAGGAACAGGAGGAGGAGCAGCAGCATCAGCAGGAGCAGGATGAGCGAGGAGGAGTATGAGGAGGAGAAGCGACGCGACGCGAGGATAAGATAGGAGGATTATGAGGGAGCGCAGGAGGAGGAGGGGGCGGATGACGAGGAAGAGGCAGAAGAGGAAGAGGAGCGGGAGGAGGAAGAGGAGCAGGAGGAAGGAGGAGGAGGAGGAGGAGGAGGAGGAGGAGGGGGGACGGCACGGAGAGGAGAGATGAGGAACAAAAGGAGAGGAGTGAGGAGGAGAAGGAGGAGGAGGAAGAGGAAGAAGAGGAGGAGGAGAAGGAGGTGCAGCAGCAGCAGCAGGACGCAGGACGAGCGAACGAGGAGAAGCAGGAGGACGACCGAGGAGGAGGGGAGGAAGAGTATAAAGGAGGACGAAGAGGAGGAGAAGGATGAGGAGGAGGATGAGCAGGAGGAGGAGGGGAAAGAGGAGAGGAGGAGGAGGAGGATGCGAGGAGGAGGAGGAGGAGGAGTAGGAGGAAGATGAGGAGGAGGAGGGGGGGGCGTGGGACGGGGAGAGAGAGCTGGTGAAGCAAGGTGGTTGAGGAGGAGGAGGAGGACGAGGAGGAGGAGGACGAGGAGGATACGACGTATGAGGAGGAGACGCGAAGAGAAGCGAGGGGAGGAGATAGAGGAGGAGGAGGTAGAGCGAGGAGGAGGAGGAGGAGGAGGAGGAGAGAAGGAGGAGGAGGAGGAGGAGGAGGAGGAAGATGAGGAAGAGGACGAGGAGACGAAGGAACAGGAGCAAGAGCAGCAGCATCAGCAGGAGCAGGATCAGCTAGGAGGAGTAGCAGGAGAATGAGGAGGAGGATGAGGATGATCACGACGAGGAGAAGGAGGCCGAGTAGTAGAATGAGGAGGAGGAGGAGGAGGAGGAGGAGGAGGAGGATGGGGGAGGGGAGGTGGTTTAGCGAGGAGGAGGTGGACGAGGAGGAGGTGGGAGGAGGAAGAAGAGAGGAGGGAGGAGGAGGGGACACACGATTGGGAGGGGGAGGAAAAGGAAGGAGGAGGAGGAGGAGGAGGAGGGGGCGGAGGAGACCACCATCATCAGAAGAGCATGAAGCATGAGGAGTGAGGGACATTATCAAGAGGACGACGAGGCGGCGGCGGGGACGGGCGGAGGGAGGAGGTAGTAGTGTAGTAGTCGTCGTCGTCGTCGCGTGTCGTCCTGTCGTGTCGTCGTTTCGTTCGTCGTAGTAGTAGTTTAGTGTAATAGTAGGCGAGTAGTTAGGAGTAGTAGGAGTGTTAGTAGTAGTAGTAGTAGTAGTAGTGTTACGTAGTAGTTAGAAGTGGTGTACGTAGTAGTAGTAGTAGTAGTAGTAGTAGAGTACTGTAGAAGTCTAGTAGTAGTAGTAGTAGTAGTAGTAGTAGTAGTAGTAGTAGTAGTAGTAATAGTAGTAGTAGTAGGAGTAGTAGTAGTAGTAGTAGTAGTAGAGTAGTAGTAGTAGTCGTAGTAGTAGTAGTAGTAGTAGTAGTAGTAGTAGTAGTAGTAGTAGTAGTAGTAGTAGTAGTATGTAGTAGTAGTAGTAGTAGTAGTAGTAGTAGTAGTAGTAGTAGTAGTAGTAGTAGTAGTAGTAGTAGTAGTAGTAGTAGTAGTAGTAGTAGTAGTAGTAGTAGTAGTAGTAGTAGTAGTAGTGTAGTAGTAGTGTAGTAGTAGTAGTAGTAGTAGTAGTAGTAGTAGTAGTAGTAGTAGAAGTAGTAGTAGTAGTAGTAGCAGTAGTAGTAGTAGTAGTAGTAGTAGTAGCAGCAGCAGCAGCAGCAGCAGTAGTAGCAGCAGCAGCAGCAGCAGTAGTAGTAGTAGTCGTAGTAGTAGTAGAAGAAGAAGAATAATAAGAAAAAGGAGAAGTAGTAGTAGGAGGAGGAGGAGGAATAAGAATAATAATAATAGTAGGAGGAGGAGGAGGAGCAGCAGGAGGAGGAGGAGGAGGAGCGAGGAGAAGGTAGAGGAGGAAGAGGTGGAGGAGGAGGCGGAGGAGGAGCAGCAGCAGGAGAAGGGCAGGAGGAGGAGGCGGAGGAGGAGAAGGCTCAGGAGGAGGTGGAGGAGGAGAGGGAGGAGGTGGAGGAGGAGCAGGAGGAGGAGGAGGAGGAGAAGGAGGAGGGGGTGGTGTAGCAAGAAGGAGGAGGAGAACGAGGAAAAGGAGTAGGATCAGGATCAGGAGCAGCAGGAGGAGGAGGAGGAGGAGGAGGAGGAGGAAATGGAGGACGAGGACGAGGAGGAGAAGGCGGAGGACGACGAGGAAAAGGATCAGGAGGAGGAGGAGGAGGAAAAGGAGGAGCGAGAAGGAGGAGCGAGGAGGAGGAGGATAAACGAGGAGGAGTAGCAGGAGGAGGAGGAGGAGCAGGAGGAGGAAGAGGAGGAGGAGGAGGAGGAGGAGGGGAAGGATGAGCAGGAGCAGGAGCAGGAGCAGGAGGAGGAGGAGGAGGAGGAGGAGGAAGAGGGAGTGAGGAGCTGGAGGAGGAGGAGGAGGAGGACGAGGAGCAGCAGCATAAGCAGGAGCAGGAGGAGCGAGGAGGAGTAGCAGGATGAGGAACACGAGGAGGAACAGGAAGAGGAGGAGGAGGAGGAGGAGGAGGAATGGAGGAGGAGGAATGGAGGAGGAGGAATGGAGGAGGAGGAGGAATGGAGGAGGAGGAGGAGGAAAAGGAGGAGCGGGGAGGAGGAGGAGGAAGAGGAGGGCGAGAAAAAGCTGGCGCCTGCGATGCGCGGTGGCGACCCGCCGACCGGACAGGTGGGCGAAGCAGGTCCGCGAGCAGCAAGGCGCTTCCTCCGGGGGGCCGCAGCCTCCCCCGCGCGTGCCAGCGCCGCGCGCCCTGCCGGCCGGGGGGCAGATCCTCCTCCGCTGACCCCGGGAGGGAGGAGCCCGTCCCAGACCCCCTCGAGTAATGAAAAAATCATGGCGGGAGGTTTTTCCTAATTTTCGGCCTCCTGGGGCCCTCACCGGGCCTCGGGAGCGTCAAAAAACGACTCAGGATGCAAAGCCGGTCATGGGGAAAGGGTCGGGACCTCTGGGGGTCGACGTAATGAAAAACTCATTACGTCGGGGGTCTGGGGTGCTCGCGTCGCTGTAAAGTCACCACGGGGATTCTTTCGCTGCTTACGGCCTCTGGTGGCCCTCTCCGGGCCCCAGGACAGTCATAAAATTATTATTCTGGAGGAAAAAGCGGCCCTGGACGAAGGATGAGGACTGGAGACCCCGCATGGACAAAGTCAAGACTCTGGATGTCTGGGGATGGAGGTTCCAGATTTTCGGTTCTTTTCGTGGATTCCTCGAGGTTTTCCCGCCTCGGCATGATTTCCGGCATCGGCGCCTCGCCGAGGGCGTTCCAGGGGTGCCCAGATCGTCCCGAACGGCCGCCGGAATGGCCCGAAAACCAGATCTCCTAGCAGAGCCGCCTGCAGAGAAGGCTGTACGAAGGTACGGAGAGCAAAGGTTGCTGTCGGAAAGTCCAGGGAGGCGTAGGAGATTGTCGCAAGGCCGAGGGGCACAGGGCAACCCATCAGACCACAGATGACGTCAAGCGAGTCAAGACGCAACATGTGCGAGCACAAGGTCGTGACAGGTGCTTGAACGCTTGCGGGGAAGAGGGTGAGATCTGGGTAGGGCTCGTAAGGCTTCCCCTGTACGGAGCATCTCAACAATGACGCAACGTCAGTATTTTCACGATTGAATCACGGTGGACTGATGATCTCAGGCCTGTCCCAGATGGATAGAGCCAAACCGAGCACACGGAGATTTGAGATAGTCAGCGCTGCCATGCGGGGCCTGCGTCAATCTTGCCTGGTGCGTCCTCGCAACAGCCCTCCCGGCGTGGGCGGGCGCGTGGGGGACCGGGGGCACAGGCCTCTCTTTCCGCTCCTGGCCCAGGGCCGCGCCGCCCTCGCGCGCGACGCGCAGACATTGAGGGGCCGCCGCCCGCGCCGGCCTCTCGAGGGGCCGCCGCGCAGACGCCGCGGGCCCGCCGCCACCCGCGCAGACACCGAAGGGCCGCCGCGGGGCCCAGACCTTCGACGTCGTGATTTTTTTTGCAACGTCGATAGGGAAACGGAAAGTGACATAAACATAAAAGCTCGGAGGTCCGCGCGGATTTCTCGGATCGGCGCTGGACCCCCCTCCCTGGCGCGCGGAGCGCGCCAGGGGCTGCGCCGGAGGCGCCGCCGGGGGGCCCCAGCCCCGATCCGAGAAATCCGCGCGGACCTCGGCCGGTTTTGCACCCGGAGTCCCCCGAGGCCCGGGAAGGGCCCCCAGAGGCCGAAGATAACGAAAAACTTCTCCCGCCTTGATCTTTTACGACGCGAGGAGCTCCTCGCGGGGGCGCCCGAGTTCGCCCGAGTCGGCGCCGGCGGGGGCGCGATGGACAAGGCCGCCTACGCGGCCGTGCTGGCCGCGGCACCCGAGGGGCCGCCGGCCGAGGGGCTGGCGGGCGGGGAGGCGCTGCCCGCGGGGCCCCCGGACGTGGAGGTGCGCAGGACCCCCGGGGGTCCTCGCCTTGGCCCTCCTCCCTCCTCTCTCCTCCTCCCTCCTCTCCTCCCCCCTCCTCCTCCTCCTCCTGCTCCTCCTCCTCCTCCTCCTCTCCTCCTCCTCGTCCTCCCTCCTCCTCCTCCTCCTCCTCATCCTCCTCATCCTCCTCATCCTCCTCCACCCCTCCTCCTTCTCCTCCTTCTTCTCCTCCTCCTCCTCCTCCTCCTCCTCCTCCTGCCCCAGCACGCCCTTGTTGAAGCGCAACACGTGCCGTGCTCCCGGACCTGATCGCGCCGTACAAAAAGCAGGACGGCAAGTTGTTCCGTGTTTTCTGCCCCTGGGAGCCTTCGTTGGGCCCCGGGACGGCCAACAAACGACTCAGGATGAAAAACCGGCCCCGGGGAAAGGGCCTGGATTTCCGGGGACGCCGTATTGAACAAGTCAGGACGTCGCATGTTTGGGTTCCAAACCTCCGTGTTGACACGCTGCGTGTTGGCTCGCTTCGGAAAACCTTGGAACTTCATCGATTTGCAAATCAACTTATCAACACTTAGCATAACTAGTTAGCAACAACTTAGCGAAGTTTCGCTAAGTTTCGCGAAGGTTCGTTAAGTGTTGCTAGGTTTCGCTAAGTTCCAGTATGTTCTCATGTGGTTTCTACATGTTTCGGCAGGCGTCGATAATCTTGTTAAGTGAAGGCCCGAACTATGTTATATCGGTGGCCATTTTGGTTCAAGTCCACATGGGTCAAGCACAGATTACTCAATGCAGCGGCCAACAATAAACAGCTAGACTGGTTGCGTTTGCACAAACTCTGGGCCTTGCAATCCTATGGAGTGCGATCGGGAAGATGGTTCGGGAGCTGCGCAGCAGGGATTGTGATGCTCATGATGATGACCTGCCCTTTGAATCACGTATCCAGAGAGATAACCCGATACGTGTTTGGTATCCCGTTCGACGTGCCTCTTTCGACGATTCTACAGGCCCGTGTCGACGGTAAGTTGGTACTGGATGCTTCTGTATCTATATATACACAATTTATGGTGTAATGCAATACCACTTGAACGAGTTGTTTTTTAGATCGACTGGGGCAGACACACGTCACTTTGGCCACGTTGGACGAGATGGTGATATGATTATTCAGGCCAAAAGAACTCAACGGAGACCCATTGGCCCGATACTTCTCAGGATCCACGTGGTCCGCAAACGGTGCAATCACATGGAAGGGCTTGCCATCGATATGATGAGAGTCCTGCGTTTCCTCAAGTGGTTTTCCCTGCGCACTCCCATCCCCGAGCGCGCCCTTGAGCCGAGGGCTCGCGCTGCTCGCATGGCTTGCGACATAATTTCATTTCTCCGCACTGGAGACGCAGCCGCGCAGCAGCCAGATGTGCTCGGGGCGATGGTTGCGCGTCATCACAAGGCGTTGCTGGACCTGCACCCCAGCGAGAGATTGAAGATCGAAGCCCACGTGTAACATCACCTCCCATACTATTTGAGGAAAGTTAGCTTCGGCTTGGCATTCTGGCCAACCGAACGCAGGAATCGGTCGCTCATCAAGGCGGCGAGCCTCTACGCGCGCGCTGGAGGCGAGCGTTCCGAGTCGTCAATGTCTACAGTTGCCGATTAGTTCCCGATTTGGATCGCAGGGTCGACGCGTCTAGCTTCGTTACGGAGGCGTTGTTGCATGGGCATGGGGGCGCGCCGAGGCGCGCATCTGAATGTATGGAAGATCTCCCAGGCCACGCATTGCAAACGTCTGTTCTCGCACCGCTGAAAGCAAGGTGGGGCAGCGAGTAGTGAGCTTTGGTGACCTTCTTTTGCTGGGGGCCAGCTGCGGGGCAAGGGCGTTCGGAATCGTTGAATTGTGCGTGGAAGCTGTGGGGGGCGCAATTGTGCGCATCAGGTATTGGTACTGATTCGTTGTTTGGCGCAGTCTGCTTCGTCTGAGAATTTGTATAATCCTGCAGGATGTGCTAATCAGTTCGTTGATAGTGGTTGCGAGAGGACAATTTACGCGCGCGCAGATCGCGCCGACGGCATGGTTGAGCCGTTGAGGCCAGTGCGCACGTTGCGCATGCGGCGACCAAGCATAAACCTCAATGGGGGGGGGGGGGAGGGGGGCAATTCGGCAATCGAACGCAATCAAACATATATCACGTGTTGAACGCGGGCCCACGGGAGGGGCGGCAAAAGTTGGGCCCCCCCAGTGGCCGCGGCCCACTTAGTTTTACTATTCTTTTGATTGAGTAGGAGAAAAGACAAGAACGCAATCCACGGGGCGATTGTTATTATAATGAACATCGCCCTGTGGATTGCGTTTTTGTTGCGTCATGGCATCGCGCGCGGGGCGGCCGCGTCTCGTTGTCGCGGGGCGCGCAGTCAGCGGAGGCCCTGCCCTGCAGCGGTGTGCGGGGGCGCGTGCTTGCGCGGCGCGTCGAGAGGTCGCCGCGGGCGTCGGGATGCACCTCGCGGGCGTCGAGCGCGACGCGGCTGTCGCGGGGGCCCTGGCGCGAGCGACGGAGCTGCCCTCGTCGACTGCCTCGCGGCGCCGCTGTCGTCGACGGGGGGGGGGGGCGGGATGCAAGCGCGGGTAGGGGTGTGGTGGTGTGGGTGGGTGGGGGGGGGTGGGGGTGGGGGGGTGGGTGGGGTGGGGTGGGGGGGGGGGGGGGGGGCGGGCGCGTTTCTGGGCATCTTCATAAGGTGGGGGGCTCAGAGGGAAATGCACGTGGGACCTGCGCTTCGAAAATCAATCCATCTGGTGGTTCACCTTTTGCATAGTCAAACATCGACAATCAACCACCGAAACGGCATTTCAGATTTGATCTTACGCCCTCCGCCCTGAGGAGAGAATCGGGAGTTTGGGCGAGGGGGAGGCGCCGGGCGTTCCGCGGCCTTCGCGTCGCTCGGCCCTTGCAGCCCCGTCGGTTCGAACGCGGTCAGTCGTTGTTGCCTCGGGGGCCGAGGGCCGCGATATCGGCCGCCGCCGCCGATGGCCCGATCGCCGTGGCCCAGGATCTTCTGTCGGCGGACCTCGGCGCTCTGGCGCCCGGGGAGCGAGGTCGGATAGCGGGCGAGCACAATTTGTTTGGCGAGAACACGCGGGCGGAAGCAGCACTCGGAGCGCGATCTGATCGTTGCTGCGAGGATTGATGACCTTCGCCCTGCCCGGGAAGAAGCTCGGCGCTGCGCGATGGCGAATGCGACGGCGGCGACGACGCCCGTTGCCGCCGATCAGCTTCCAGGTGGGGAAGCGCCCGAGGTGGCTGGCATCAGCCAGCGCAGCATCGCAGAGCGCGCCGCGAAGGCGATGGCAGACGCGAGGAGGAGGATGGGCCCTGTTGGGCACCCCGATCCACGACTCGTGGGGGGGCGAGTGCGGCG